CAGGAAAACAACCAGCCACTGTGTGTGTGTGTGCGTGTGCATGTGTGTGTGTGGTAAATTATTAGCTGTGTGCCGTGAGGGTTTTTCCGCAGCTCATAAAGCCAGTTTAAAGCAACAGCTCAGTGAAAAACATGAACATTTTGATACCTTCACTCACTCTGACGCTTGTTTTTGCTCCTATATATAGAACACACACCTAACATCATTTCTGTTTATAACAGGGCTTACACAAATAAACCTGTGTGTGTTTCTGTTTGTGTGTGTTTGTCTCTGTTTCAACTGTAGAATCACCACAACAGATCAATTACTGTAGTTGTTGTTACCATAGCAACTGTAGAATCACCACAACATATCAATTACTGTAGTTGTTGTTACCATAGCAACTGTAGAATCACCACAACATATCAATTACTGTAGTTGTTGTTACCATAGCAACTGTAGAATCACCACAACAGATCAATTACTGTAGTTGTGTTACCATAGCAACTGTAGAATCACCACAACATATCAATTACTGTAGTTGTGTTACCATAGCAACTGTAGAATCACCACAACAGATCAATTACTGTAGTTGTTGTGTTACCATAGCAACTGTAAAATCACCACAACAGATCAATTACTGTAGTTGTGTTACGATAGCAACTGTAGAATCACCACAACAGATTAAAAAACTTTTGTTGTGTTACCATGGCAACTGTAGAATCACCACAACAGATCAATTACTGTAGTTGTGTTACCATAGCAACTGTAGAATCACCACAACATATCAATTACTGTAGTTGTTGTGTTACCATAGCAACTGTAGAATCACCACAACAGATCAATTACTGTAGTTGTGTTACCATAGCAACTGTAGAATCACCACAACATATCAATTACTGTAGTTGTGTTACCATAGCAACTGTAAAATCACCACAACTGATCAATTACTGTAGTTGTGTTACCATAGCAACTGTAGAATCACCACAACAGATTAAAAAACTTTTGTTGTGTTACCATGGCAACTGTAGAATCACCACAACAGATCAATTACTGTAGTTGTGTTACCATAGCAACTGTAGAATCACCACAACATATCAATTACTGTAGTTGTTGTGTTACCATAGCAACTGTAGAATCACCACAACAGATCAATTACTGTAGTTGTGTTACCATAGCAACTGTAGAATCACCACAACATATCAATTACTGTAGTTGTGTTACCATAGCAACTGTAGAATCACCACAACATATCAATTACTGTAGTTGTTGTGTTACCATAGCAACTGTAAAATCACCACAACAGATCAATTACTGTAGTTGTGTTACCATAGCAACTGTAGAATCACCACAACAGATTAAAAAACTTTTGTTGTGTTACCATGGCAACTGTAGAATCACCACAACAGATCAATTACTGTAGTTGTGTTACCATAGCAACTGTAGAATCACCACAACATATCAATTACTGTAGTTGTTGTGTTACCATAGCAACTGTAGAATCACCACAACAGATCAATTATTGTAGTTGTGTTACCATAGCAACTGTAGAATCACCACAACATATCAATTACTGTAGTTGTTGTGTTACCATAGCAACTGTAGAATCACCACAACAGATCAATTACTGTAGTTGTGTTACCATAGCAACTGTAGAATCACCACAACATATCAATTACTGTAGTTGTTGTTACCATAGCAACTGTAAAATCACCACAACAGATCAATTACTGTAGTTGTTGTGTTACCATAGCAACTGTAGAATCACCACAACAGATTAAAAAACTTTAGTTGTGTTACCATAGCAACTGTAGAATCACCACAACAGATCAATTACTGCAGTTGTGTTACCATAGCAACTGTAGAATCACCACAACGGATCAATTACTGTAGTTGTTGTGTTACCATAGCAACTGTAAAACCACCACAACTGATCAATCATTACAGTTGTTGTGTTGTGTAGTGACTGCAGAGCATTGATAGTATGGTTGAACACAGTAAAGTGTTTCTGCTGGTCTTGTAGTGTTGTTCTGACCTCTGCAGTGTGACCCCAGTAATAAAGGCTCAGTGTGGGGACGTCTGGCTTTCACCCAAATGAAAAAATTCCTCCCCGGAGTCGAATACGTGCCAGCGTCGGCATCCGCATGCAGTCTGCGGTCACATTCAGAGCTGATCCAGGGTCAGGACGTGTCCTTCAGTAGAGGAAGAGTTAAGAGCATTCAGGAAACTCTTCAGCTGTTTTGAACAAGACTGTGCTCAAGCTATTATTTCCTCTGGGTGACGTTTCCACAGTCTAGACACACACACACACACACACACACACACTGCTCTGCATCACTCTGCTGTTTGACAGTGTAGGGTATTGTTGATAAATCGCTGTGTTTGGAATTAAATACAAGTTTACTGCATACTGTATTCTGCGCAGTGTGTGTGTGTGTGTGTGTGCATGGGTGTGTGCTTATTTGTGCATTTCAGCATTTATGTTAACATGTTCATGCATTTATTTGTGCATGTGTGTAGTTATAAACGTGTTGAGTTGTTGTGGGTACTGTATGTATGCGTTTATTTGACTTCATAAATTCTTCATTCATTTGTGATGCACAGCTTTAATAATGTTTTTTACATTTACATTATGTCATTCAGAAGATACTTTTATTCAAAACAATATGCAGACATCATTGAAAGGTGTTTAAAAAATATAAGTATGTACTTATTTAAAATGCATGTATTTTGCCATTTAATATTTCCTTAAATGTGTATTTATGCAAATATGTAAGCATGCATTGGTTTATTGAAGCAGTTATTCTCTTGTTTGTGTGTTACAATTTCATGCATTTATTTGTGCATGATGTGTTTATTTATAAATATGTTCAGTTTTGGGGACTGTATGTATGAATCTATTTGACATTAGTTTCATTTCATTCATTTATGATGCATCTGTGTGGAGTTTGCATGTTCTCCCCGTGTTGGCGTGGGTTTCCTCCGGGTGCTCCGGTTTCCCCCACAGTCCAAACACATGCGCTATAGGTGAATTGGGTAGGCTAAATTGTCCATAGTGTATGATTGTGAATAAGTGTGTATGGATGTTTCCCAGTGATGGGTTGCAGCTGGAAGTGCATCCGCTGCGTAAAAACGTGCTGGATGAGTTGGCGGTTCATTCCACTGTGGTGACCCCGGATTAATAAAGAGACTAAGCCGACAAGAAAATGAATAAATGAATAATTAATGATGCATTTAATAAAGTACATTTCTGTAACTTTTACGTTTAGTCATCAGCAGACACTTTTCTTCAAAGAGACTTACAAAATGATTGAAATGTTTAAAAATAACAGTATAGATGTATTTAATTTGGCATTTCTTTATTTTAATTTATTCATTTTCACATTGAATGTTCTCATAAATGTCTATGCATTGATTTAAGCTGTTATTTTCTTCTTTATGTGTGCGTTTATGATTGGGTAGCACGTTCGCCTCACAGCAACAAGGTCGCTGGTTTGAGCCTCGGCTGGGTCAGTTGGTGTTTCTGTGTTGAGTTTGCATGTTCTCCCCGTGTTGGCGTGTCTAACACTACAATGAGAAACTGTAAATGCTGCTGGTGTTACACTCGTGCAGTCATTTATTAGTGTAATAATGTATAATAATAGGGCGGCATGGTGGCTCAATGGTTAGCACTGTCACCTCACAGCACTCAGGTCTCTGGTTTGAGTCCCGGCTGGGTCAGTTGGCGTATCTGTGTGGAGTTTGCATGTTCTCCCCGTGTTGGTGTGGGTTTCCTCCGGGTGCTCCGGTTTCCCCCACAGTCCAAACACATGCGCTATAGGGGAACTGATCAACTACACTGGCCGTACTGTATTAGTGTGTGTGTATGGGTGTTTCCCAGTACTAGGTTGCAGCTGGAAGGGTATCCGCTGTGCAAAACATATGCTGGAATAGTTGCCGATTCATTCCACTGTGGTGAATAAAGGGAATAAGTTGAATGAATGAATGAATAATATTATTGATTTGTTTGTTTGGTCATGCATGTAGTTGTTGTTATAGTTTGGGCATATATGCAGATATTGATGTGGATATTTACGCATGTAATCTTTGCTATATTTATGCATTCATTCATGTCTGAGGCAGAGTTGTGCTCCAGGAGCTAAAAAACTAGCATAGTAGTATAAAAATCTTTCATTTTACCTCTAAACTCATTTTATGTCACCAAAAGGCAGCTAAAACCTCATCATAACCTCATTAAACACATCACATTAAAACTCTGTATTGTTTCTTAGTCTGTCACTACTCTTGCGTATTTTTGTCCAGCAACACCAGAAACCTGTATTAGTGGCCCTTTCTGTGAGTTTTGCCTCTCTGCTATCAGTTGACTGATGCTTTCCTCATGTGCAAATCACGCTGGACTGAAGCATCTGCTAAATGACTGAATATGAAAGTAGTAAATGCTGCAGGATTATTGTTTATTGTCAGTTTAAGTTATTGAATGAAGCTGTATGAGTCAGTTGTATCTGTAAGGAGTGCCTCAGGGCTCTGTTCTAGGACCGCTTTATTTCCCTCACAGTGCTCCACATATTACAGCCCGGTGTGTTTATTTGTAGGTAGTTGAATCAATGTGTTGTGATGGTTGTAGTGAGGTTGTCTAAAGGTTGTGTGTTTGATTGACAGGTGGTGGGTCTGTACCGTCTCTGCGGTTCTGCTGCGGTGAAGAAGGAGCTGCGCGAAGCTTTCGAGAGAGACAGTCACAGCGTGGAGCTCTCGGAAAGCAACTATCCAGACATTAACGTCATCACAGGTACTGCTCATCCACAGCACACTGCAGAGTACAGAGTGCGGCACTGTAGAGCAGTGTCTCTCAACCACGTTCCTGGAGGACCACCGGCTCTGCACATTTCTCCTTAACCAAACACACCTGATTCAGGTCATCAGCTCATTAGCAGGGACAAAGACCTGTAAGGGCTGTGACAGACAAAGGAGACACCCAAAACATGCAGTGCTGGTGGGCCTCCAGGAGCGTGGTTGAGAAACACCGCTATAGAGGGTTTCATCAGTCGGCCATATTGGAGAACAGAATGTAAACAAACCCCTGATCTGAATCAAACTCACATCTTTAGATGATTATTGCTGAGGAAAATGATCAGTTATTACCTTTTTTGGGCTGTGTGTGTGTGTGTGTGTGTGTGTGTGTGTGTGTGTGTGTGTGTGTGTGTGTGTGT